AAATGAGGACAGTGAAAACTATCGGCACAGTAATTTGTAACTGTAGGATGTTTTTCAAAATTGGAAAAAATTTCAGTCGATTGCTATTCTTCCACGTCATTTTATTATTGTATGTACTGCCAATAAGAATCATAAAATTCTTAATTATTGTTATTATTGCTATGTTGTTATTATTATTTCCATGCAAAAAAACGATCATCAAAATTCAGGGCTACAACTTTTATCGAAAACACTTTTCTATAAAATTTGTATTTTTCGAAATTTTCCCACTCTGTATATATAATATTTTCTATTAACATATATTAATTTCCCTCTTGATTTAATTTATTCTTTATTATCTTTTTCTAATTTTTAGAAAAAGATAAAAAAACAAATTAAAGAAATTGAAGTTAATTTACATTGGTGGAAATCAATAATAACACATGGCCAAAATACTAAACGTATCGGAAGATACAAGGAACAGTAATCTTATAATTATTTTTAATATCAATTTAATAAAATACGGAAGACAATTCGCAATTTAAGGTCATATACTAATGGCCATTACTTACTCGACTCGTGTCTGTTGTGGGTATTTACATGTCTTGCGCCAGTCTTGACTTAGATGATCTAACAAGGAAGCATGACGAGATGTATATATGCTCTTTACATTGTCATCTCATTGTCATCTCGCGCGTGTGTAATTGTGTAAAGCCTGTCTCTTGTTTTGACAAATGTAGTACCTAATCGTCTTTTCTGCGATGCTTCTTCCCATCAAAATCATACTCTTTCCGAACAGTAAAAAAATCCTATGTAGACGAGGAAATCGATTATTCAGTGCTTAATTAGCACTCAATCGCCATTAGTTCATGATCGTCGTTAATCGTAACTCGCGACATTCGAAATCCTTAAAATATCCTTTCCCCCTCAACGCACGTCAAGATGCTTCATTTATCAAGACATTTATCGTTCGTATTGTTGAAGTCGCTTTTCGGAACGTCGAAAACATTGAGTGGGCTTTCAAAGGGATTAACACTAAATATTCAATGAACAATTAATCATTTCCCGACTTTCGAGGTACTCGATTTTGGTGTTATCGCGTGACGCGCGCATCGCATCGATATATAAAATTGTCACGCGAACGGTAGAATTTTTTGTATGTACGTAAAGGCTACCACACGTAAAAAAATTTTGATAGTAATCGTAAAGCTGTAAGGAAGTCAACTAATCACAATTAAAAGTCTTACATTTTAGAATACTCAATCGTAAATGATCAATACATTGACAATCTTACGATTACAACTTTTCTTTTTTAAGCATGATGTAAGAAAAGTAAGAAAATTAGTTCTGTAAAGGAATGCTGGAGCGATCAAATTATCGATATTAGTCGTGAAAATATATTCAAATTGACAGAACGGAATCAAAAATCCCTTTACAGGATTAAAGGAGACGCAAAATTAGGAAGTGGTGTAGTGAACTTTACTAAAATTGAAAAAAAAGTTAAGTAAATTTTTTATTTTTTTCGATTTTAATACAAAGTTCACTGCACCCTCTCATATAATTTTGCGTCTACTTTAATTCTGGAAAAAGATTTTTTTCTTATTTCATTCAGTCAAAATTTGAAGATATTTATACGACAATAATGTCGATAATTTAATCACTTCAGCATTTCCTTAATTGCAGTATCGACGTTATTGTCGTTGCACAGATATTATTCATGATAAAAAAGCTGCGCAACAAATAACAACAAAATCGACATTATCGTTAAGAATTACACAATCTCAAACCAGGTGAACCAATTTCAAGAATGCACAGTCGGTCACAATGTAATATTTGTGATCAGCAATTTAAATGGAAATATAAAATAATTTTTTTTAGATCTATGTTCCGGCCTTAGAGCTACCGCAGACAAAATTACGTAAGTCCGGATCTACAATAGATATTTTAAGTTTTAAGCCGTAAGAAATTGACCAATTATAGTCGAATGCGAGAAGAATAATTGACTATAATTCGTTTATTTCTTATAATTTAAGGCTTAAAAATCTATTGTAGATCCAAGCTAACAGTAATCGTAAGGCGTAAACTAAACCTGATGAGCCAATCAAGATATTGTTTTAGATTTAGGTAATCTGACAGAAATAGAAATAACAATAAACTTATCCATAAGATAAATTTTAATCGATTGGCTTGTCGACTTAAATTTATGCCTTACGATTACTATTATGGAATTTTATCTGCGGTAGCTCTTAAGTCTTCTTACATCACAGTAACTGCATAGTAACTCGTCAGCGTGTTTAACGAATGTTGTAAATGTCGTATATACATATGCATTGCTCGTTTGCTTTGCTCGGAGTACGTTGCGCATGTGTACATACAATAAGCGTCGGAAGTGTCGGGGCAAAGTGGCGGGCTGTCATTCGCGCCGGCGTTAATTAGCGCGCAGCATCGTAATTAGCGATTTTCCAAGCAGTTCCATGTCTAGGAGCGCGAGCGCCAGAACAATGGAACTCCCAGAAAGACAGTGATATCGGTGCAGCAGTGCATTGGCTGGTGAATTAAGTTCCTTTTTTTATATTCGCAGGATTAATTGTTCACTCGTCCCTTTCGTGATGATCTGATTATCACGCCGTGCTTATCACGTTCTAACATCCGTTTGCATCTCTCTTCGATTTATACAGTAGGATAAAATTTATTCTAATTACCATTAGTTACTTTATTCTTTACCATTACTCATTAATTTACTCTTACTTCTTTTTATAAAAATAAAATCTCGCTCCTTTTATTTAACGTTAATTTCTTGTATTTCTGTCGCTTGGTTGATGTACTTTGAATCTTATTAATATATTGATTATAATTTAACATTAATATTAAATATAATTTAATGATAATAATTAACATTAAATATAATTTAATGAAAATAGTAATATTAATAATTGCAACTTCTAGGTACCTTTTAAATAATAAATTTGTATAATATAGCTAAGGATTCTACATAGACAAATCCTTAAATAACTGCCACATGTATCTATTAATTATTTTGTTAACATAGATAGAATAGATATTTTCTCTTATTTAACACAAGCAAAAAAATTAAATTAAGGACAGTGAATTGTATTGTTATAAATTTTGCTGCAGATATTCTACTAATAGTATCAGTTGAGATAATCACCGATTAAATTAAAGTTTGATTGTTCATAAAGCCCGTATCAAATTACCGAGTTTGCAAGCCGACCCGATTGCCAACTCTGACTGATCAATAATGGACCAATCAACATTGAATCAGTTTTATTGTGATTGGTCCATTATTGATAGTCAGAGTTAGCAGTCGGGTCGGCTTGCAGAGTCGGTAGTTTGATACAGGTTTAAAATGCTTATTGATAAGTCGATAAATTACGGTACAAATTTTGTACAATTAATGTATAAATTGTACAAAATATGTATAAATATTTCATAAATGTAGGATATTCGGAAACCACACACACATACACACATATGCGCGCGCGCGTCGTGCACGCGCTGTATGTAATATTTTTTATTGGCAATTTGTTTCTACGAAAAAAAAATCATTTTCTTTGTAAAAAGTTTCGAGAACAAATGTAATTTTTTAGTGATCAAAGGATCTTGACAATCGAAATTTGGATTAAAATTTTGAAAAAATGAGATTTATTGGATTTTTCAAGTGAACAATATTTTCAATGCTTTTATTAATCAATGAAATTAAATAATTTTTTATCGAATCTTAAAATTCCAATTTATATATGACAACGAAAGCAATGTAGCACAACGGATTATATTTATGTCTATTGGAGTTAAATTTGAACAATGTCGTCGATTCAACAATTTCTAAGGTATGTGTAGTAAAGCAATGTCCGAATGCGCCAACCAATCGAATAACGACGACGACAAAAGAGAAAGGAACGCACCAGTCGTTGAAAAGACTGCACTTAACGCGGCGGATATATATCGCTCTGCAGGATGGGGTGGAAGTGAAATGTGGCCGCGCTTACCGGACCGGCTAAACGTACTATTTATTGTCCTTACAGTCGCCGGTCTTCCTTCGGAGATCTTGCGTCGTTCGTAAGGACATGTATTTACCAACCAACAGCCAGAATTGGTTCTATTCCACTCAGGGAAGAGGATATAGTAGAAGGAAACTATATGACAACCATTGAAGTTCTATGTATAGAATTGTTTTATACAATAATAATTGAATAAGCTATTTTATGATTATTACAACGATAAAATAGTTTATTCAACTATACATATATATGTGTACATTAATTCTACATAATAAAACTTCTACAATTATCATCTACATATACAGCTACTATATTTTTCTCTGAGTGTCATATTAAAACTTGTAGCACGACAAACAATCATAATATCAAACTCGACAATAATAACACATATAGAAATTACTAAAAGCTTATTAAGTTATACTAATACCAGACATATTAAGTTTAATTGAGTTATGATTATTTATTGATTGTTATTACTATCGTATAGCAATCTATTTAACTGTGATTGACTAAACTCGTTATCTATCTTTCTTATTCTATGTAACTAATTAAGAAAAAAAAAACAATTTTTTTTTATGAAAGACAATAATTTAATAAATTTAGCTTCACACGCGTTAATTATTTCTCTTATTGTTTTATATTCTATATTGGCAAATAAAAGAAGCATTTAATCCATAAATTATCATTTCAATGCTGCAACAGTATAATTTTATTAAGTTTAAAAATGAACTTGATTAGAGAGTAATATATTTCCACGAGAATAATAACTCTCTTAAACATTAAATTTTCTTATTCTCTACAGAAAATGCAATAAAAAAGTTCGTAACTGTATATGTTTCTTTTATATATTAAAAAAAACTGTTTCTTTTATATATTAAAAAAAAATTGTTTCTTTTTTTAGAATATATATAAAATTCTATTTTTTACATTTATCGATTCTAAAGCAATTATTTAAAAGTGAAAAAGCAGGAAACTAAGTAAATATAAAAAGAATTTTTAAGCCTAAAAAAAATGGATACGATTTGTCTTACCTTTTGAAGTAGTCCCGACAGAAATTGTAGATGAAGCTTCATTTTCGCCGTAACACTTTACAAATTGCCAGTCTTCTCTTAGTTTTTTCAGCTTCTCCTATAACACAATATTAAATACACAATATTAAATAAAGTTTACTTTAGACAATTTAGAATAAATATATTTTTGCATACTTGTAATTCAACAGAAACTGGTTGTTTTGCTGATTCACATTCTTTTTCCAAATTAGTATAATTCTCTAACACATCTTTTACTTCCATTTCGCGGTCTTTAACTTTAGACTAAAAAATACAATTTTCATTAAAAATTATAATATAATTTATCCTAACTTATCATAATATAACTTACCATAATATTTTTAATCACTTCATTACGCTCGTGCTGCGGTAGATCTTGAGAAATACTTAATCGCGTTCGCGTTTCCATAACCCATGCCATAACAGCATCCAGGGTGCAGATGTATTTTTTAAGCGACGCAAGCTTGCATTCTACGTATTCGCGATGATTCGACAGATTTGTGTTAGCCTAAACAAACATCATTAAATACAAAAGTAATTATATATAATTACATATTCAATTATATTATATCAAATTATTAAAATTTTAAAAATTACAATATTATAAATTTTATAAATGAAGTTAGTACCTTGTCCATATCCGCGAGAAGTTTATTACTCTCGTCTTCTTCTTTAGGAACGTTAGATTGATTTACTAAGGCTTGCAAAGTTCTTTTCCGAGATGTAAGTTCTTCTTCTCTCGCCTGCAAAATATTTCATTACTATTAGATTTAAAAAATAGCGACTGATCATTTAGCTTTTAAAAATAAATAATATACACTAAAGAAGGTGAATTACACAAACGAAAATTATATCACAGATACTTTTGCTGTTAATCCAATCTATAAAAAAAGATAAAGAACGAACGATATATATTAGTCAAACTTTACTAGGAAGCAGATTGAAAGTGAGAGTTCAATGCTATTTATATCCTGGCACGATTCAGCATGTGCAGTCATGAAATGTAGAGATATTATTAGGACACAGTTTCAGTTTATTTGATTATGCTGCACCGGACTGTAGCCTATGGGAAAACTGAATCTCGGAGAGAATAATTCCGTTACTTATACAAGTCACAACGCACAGAGCGCTCTAAAGAGCGCTTCTCAATTATATATTTTTTACGTGTTATACATTCATATGTACGTGATATAATTTTGAAAGTATAAGTGATTTCATGTAATAGTAATCTTCGCGAAAATAGTGAAAAAATGTGTTATACATAAAAATTGTGTTATTATAACGATAAGTGCTTTCCATTTAATGACAAGTCGATATAAACATCGTTCTATCTTTGTTGACATTCAGAGAGTGACAAACATAGAACGATACTTGTATCGACTTGTGTCGACTTGTGTCATCAAATGGAAAGCACCCATCATTTATTTAAAAGTTGAAAATTTCTGTATATTTAAGGAACAAAATATAAGGTAATCAAATTTGTTATTATACCGATTATTCTTGAATTTTATTAAAATGATAAAAGAGTAACATTTAATAAGTATACCTAAATAATACAAAAAACACTTGCCTTGATTAACGATAGTCGGATCGATAATGAGGTTTCATCTGAAGGATTTGCTGCAGATACTAATAGAGTATTCACTTGTTCTATGATATTATATGCTGTTTCCAAAATCCTGCCGTCATTGTTCACTTTTCTCTCCATAGCAAAATTCCTTAAATAATACATTAATACAAATATATTCAAAATATGACGTATAAACGGAGCACATTTTAACATCTAATAATAATATTTTATGTATATGACAAATTATTGAAGTTATTGTAATCAAAATAATAATACATATTATTGTTTTACACAAAAAAGTGATTTACAAGAGAAATTCAAAGATGTTCGTTTATTCTGAGGTTATTCTGAGTTGACTGACTTCACTACAGCACAGGCAAATCACAACTGAAATAGCTCAATGCTGGGTCGAGCTTTCCTCGCAATACTACATGCTTGCTTGTCTGCATTAGCAAGTCATAATTTCATAATTCATAACTCATAACTCATAACTCGTAATTCATAATTCATAATTCTTTATAATAATTATGGCTATCATTTATAATTATGAAATATCATACTAATTTATTTAAATAGATGTTTGAGTGATATAAAAGCGGATATCCATAAATAATTCCGATTCCTATTTTAAAATAAAGAAAATAATATATCTTTCTTACTTTTCTTTTCGTGCGTTTATTTCGGTCACTAAATTGTGCCAACGATGCTTAATATTTTCAATTATATTCTGCAATTCTATTACATCTTCAGTGGAAGCCCGGCTAGATATATCCGTACTCGCTATATTGATATTATTTAACGTTCTTTGCATTCTAGAAACTTCTTGTTCTAATTCAAAAGTTTTTGTTTTACTTGTTTTAGAATGGCTGAAAACGTTGCACTTCTTTAAAGCATCTTCCATTTTATCTAACCACTCCGCAAATGTCCGACATGTGTTATGAAGTTCTCTCCATTTTTCGTAACATTTAATCCACCGGTTATGTCTTTCCATATAACTCTGACTAACATTTACCCATTCATCTTGTAACTTCTCACTTAAACGTTTTATTTGATCAGACTGCTCTCTCTTGGCTTGCCGTGTGACGCTTTCGCAAACGTAATTTACTTCGTCAACACTTGGCTTTAAAATATTTAAAGCATTGTTAATTTTCTTCAAGCATTCTTCTTGGTTTGTAAATAGCTCGTAGTCTCTACCATTTAATGGTAAAGAATTCAAAGATCGTGATACAGTTACTATTGCTTCTCTCAATTTGTTGATGCGTGCGATAAACTCTTGCGGATTTACGCCAACAGTATCCTGAAAAAAATAAAGTTCGATAATATAAATAAATTCCACAAAATATCTGTTTTACACGATGGATTTAAAATGTTTTAATAATAATTTATTACATGATTTATCTCAATATTAAAACGTACCAATTCTACTTTCTTCTCAGTCACATGTTTGTCCTTGTCTTTGCTACCACTGAATCTTTTGAATTGCGAACTAACTTTTTGCCAATTGTTATTGATATTATAACGTACTGATTCCGAATATCCAACATTTAATTTTTTTAACTCCACAGCTAGCTCATTCAGTTTATGTATTTGTATTTGTTTTGTATCAAATTCTTCAGTGAATGATTCCAATTGGCCTTCATAATTATTAGCTTGTTCAAGTTTCAGTGGTACATCTCTAAACCATTCTTCAAATTCCGTTATTATGTTATTATATTGTCGTAGAACTTCTTCTGCTTTTTGTGCTTGTTTTCTGCGCGTTTCAATTTCCGCCATAACTTGATGCCACTTGCTTCTCAGTTTATCTTGATGTTCGTGTTTTATTTTTTCTGCCCGTGCAGGATCATTCATATGTATTGTCATAACTAAACCGTCTCCCTTACTGATTAAAGCTGCTGCATCTGGGGCAAGGGTACTAATCTCACTTTTCAATATCTGTAATACATAAAAATATAGATTACAATCATTAAATAATAATTTTATTTATAAACAAATTTATGTAAGTTACACAAACCTCAAGACGCTTGGTAGGATCTTTCTCATTAGAAATACCACTAATACTCATTAACATAACATCCATTCTGCATAGCATCATTTGTGCTAATTGTTCAAATTCCAAAATATTTTTTTCTAACGTTGTTCGAGAAATACCCATTGGATTTTTGAATACCGCTTTCTCATGAACAGCTTTTGTTTCCATTTTATGCTGCATAATTGGCCGAGATCTTTCAACTTTCATCTGAAAAAATTAAAATATTCATGTGAGAAAAATAAATAAAAATATATCATGTAGTATCAAAAAAATTCTTATAAGCAGGCCTATGTAATCAAAATTTGGAATAAATAACAGACTGAACATGAATGCCGTGGACATGAATGTCGCATTTATGCAACACACATGTTACCTTGTCCAAGAGGTGCTCAACATGCTCTCCTAAATTAGTGTCCTCTCCATCTGAACTGGAACTACCAACATCAATTTCTGTATCGTCCGAAAATATTAACGCATCATCTGTTTCCTTATCACTGCCATAAAAGCTTTCGCAATCTTCCAACGTGTCATCTTTTGATAGATTTTTCATATATTTCAGTAATGGTGACTTCTTATATAAATTCTCTTCTTCGCTTCGACTAGCATTACCAGTATTTTCACGTATTATAGAATATTCAGTACTTTTCTTAGATGTCATTTCCTTCTGATTATTTCCATTTTCTTGTGTCCCCACTGACATTTGTGCTGTAGCATATTTTGCTTGCTTACCAGTTTTTATATCAGATTTCTCAATTTCTTCGTCATCCAATATAAGATACTCTGCCACACTCTCTGTGTCTTTCCACGAAGATGTTATCCTCGGTGATTTATTTGATCTTTCTTTTAATTGTTGATCAACTTGAATATATTCAGCCTTTGAAAATCCTGCAGCATCAACCTCTTCATTTTTTAATAATACATCACTGGAAGTTATATTTTTATTTGAATCGATAAGATTTTCCTGATCACTTAATTTTAGTATAAGTCTTTTAATATTTCGCGGAGGAAGTTCAACAGGAGCTTTCTTTTTTAAAATTGGCACAAGTTCTTTTTTCTTAACAATCTGTTCTGCAGTAACAGTAGTAGAGGTTATTTTCCCTTTGACTTCCTTGTCTTCTGTGTCAGTATCAATAGATTCAGCTTCCGTCTCGGTATCCTCAATAATTTCCACTCTTTCAACTACTTGCGGCATTAATCCAACACTAACATTAGCACTCGGCAAGATTACATGATCTTCGGGAGACGCTACTGATTTTACAATTTCCATTTCTTTTACTTCTACAATTCGAAATGGATTCTGCTGTACGCAAGCTGTGTTAAAAGTTTTCGTATCTGTTGCTGTCAGAGTATTGCTAGATACTTGAGAGAATAATTTACTGTTTTTAGCCAGAAAGAATTCTTCCTCATCAGTCATATGCACGTCTGTATCGGAATAAGGTGAAGGCAAGTCGTCGTCAACCTGAACAACTTGTGGTTGAGAAGTTTGAACAACATCGGGCACAGTACTCATGTCTAATTTTCGTCTAACAGTTCTACTAACATCCACAATTCTAGTCGTTACTTTTTCCGATTTAGCGGAAGACTTCCTGCTTCGATGAGGCACGTCAGTGGGCGAGCTTTCAGGTGTATTAACAGCACACTGATTATCATCAAATGCAGGATTAAAATATCCTATGCCATAAATTGCTTTATTCTCATCTATTAATTTCTTTTCTTTTTTCGCAGAATGTGCTGAAGTTTGTTCAAGCTGTTTAGATAATTTATTGTGTCCATAATTGTCTCTCCCCTTAGAAGCTTCTGCTTTACTTTTTACTAATAAATTGTCTGTGATTTTGTGGATCCATTCCTGTGAAAATATGATAGGTGACAGAAACTTTATGGACAATCGACAGTTAATGGAAAGAGCATGTTAATAGTGGAACAATATTAAGCATGGTCTAATGAAAGTGACAATGCGGTTCACTGTGCATATAAAGCTGAATTTTTCATGGATATCCATCACCAAAATGCAAAATCTCTGCACTATAACTCAAATAGGTTCTTCTAACTTTACAACTTGTTGTAAATTCTCCATAAAAAGTAAGTTTTATACAAGGGGAGAGACAATACCATAAAAAAAAATAATCAATAAAATACAAATCCTTTTATTCACCAAAATATATACTTATTTTGTGCCAGCAATTACGCTATTTACAGAGATAGAGTCACCTCTTGGACAGAATCGGTATTCCATATTACATATTGAGAAGTGTAAAAGTAAAATAAGTTTAATATACACGTATTATTTTAATTTAATTTACCAATTTTTCGAAAACATAAAGTATAATATTATTATTATTAACACCCATTAAGATACGTAAATATATAGAAAATAATATTATTAAAATATATATATAGCTTTATTTAAATGCTGTAAAAAAGATTGGGGTATATTTTTCATATTTATTTTTATATTTAAAAATTTTCACATTAAAAAGATTAATATTTAATAGAAATTAATATTCAAAGTAAGTCAGAATATTTCTGCATATTTTGCAATATAAAACGTCTTATATACATATTAATGAAAATGTTTTATGTGATAGAGATATACGTAATGGTACTAACAAGCACAAGTATTACATATACCGATTGTTAAAGTATAAAGCAAAGAATAAGCCATGAGCGAATAAGCAATGAATGATAAAACTGACTTTAGAAAAAAGATAATAGATAACAACAATTTTAGATAGAAACAAATTTTAATTTTTAAACAAAAATTGGATACATACTTGTATTCTGTTAGAAATGACTTCCCATTTTTCACATACTTCAGCTACTTGGGGATGAAATGCATAACGTTGAAGCTGATTAACTTTAGGTTTTGCTTCTATCATTTCACTTTGCACAGCCTAATAATGAAACAATATTAAAAATATTTACAAAGATGATTTTATCAAAATAATTATTTTACGTTAAAAGATAAAATAAATAATTTCTTTTTTATACATTGCGCTTTTATACATTGTATTTTAATATCATATTATATGAAATTTCAGTACCTTGCACTGTTCGAAGTGATGTTCAGTAAGTTGATCAATTGAAACTGCATCTAATTTATTTAATTTCTCTTCAACTTGTAAAAGCCACGCGTTTATTTCGTCGACATTAGGTTCATCCTTTAGAAAGATAAGAGACACGTATATTTATATAGTATAATATTCGGATATATTATGAAAAATTTACCTCCGAGCCTTGACAAACTCGCAATCTCTTTTCTGTATTAGCTAATCTTATAATTACGTCAGACATTTTTTCCTTAAGTTGTTCGAGATACATAGGATCGCATAATTTTGAAAATTGATTTTGCGATACAAACAATTTATCTCTTATAACATTGAGACGCGGAATTACTTCGGTCAGAGTCTCCTGTAAATAATGGCACAATTATAAATTTTATCGTTTGTGTGTATTAAAAGACATTTATAAATACAAAATAAATAGCCTGAAATAAGATTTACATACTTGTACATATATCGCATTCACCGGCAGATCAGGCAGACTTTTTTGGGTATCTAATTCCTTATTTATACTTTCGACAGACATATTAATATACGCCATACTTTTATGCATGTCGCGTGACAAGTCTAATGCTGATTCTAATATGGATTTGAATTCCGTTATGTGAAGACCAAGCTGAAATAAATGTAAATATTTGAATCATTCTTTTAATTGTTTTATAAAATTAATAAACTTAGGTTTATTACTTACCTTATTATATAATTCTTTTAACATATCTATTCGCTTTGAAAATTTGTCGGACTCGGGAATAGCTTTATCTTCAACTAATTTTCTTCCAGTTACAATTATACATTCAATTTCACTCTTAATTTCACTTAAAGTTTGATAGAAGCGCTGCAAGACAACAAATAAATTATTAATATGTACATTAATTTCATAGATTATGCAATATTTAAATAAAATGTAGCTACCAGACAATGTTTTAATTGACCCTCGATGACTTCGGGATCTTCTGATGATAATTCTAGCAAACAAGTTGCTTCTTCTATTCCCCTGAGTTCTCGTAAAGCTCTCGATAATCTAGGTTCTATATTGGTTGGACAACGAAAACGTTGAAACTTTCTTTGTACTTTAGCATATTTCTGTTCAATCAGGGACATTTGTTCTTGGAGTCGAAGTGCCGCTTCTTGTTTACCAGAAGCTTTGTACGATTCAATTTGTGATGCCATTTCCTCGAGCGTAGCATGCTGTTGTTCTAATTCTTCCATTAATTTCTGTAGCCATAATACATAATTATACATAAAATAAATAATACTTAATATTCATATATGTAGATATGTCATACTCTATAATATACCATATGCATTAGTAAAATTTGACATTCTTTTTATGATATAATTATATAGTTAGTAAGATTGATATAAAAGATGCAGATTTTAATAATTACATTCTTTCGTGATCATGCTATTTTCATAATCTCGTTATGTACACAGAGTAAAAAATATATTAATATCTCTTTGCATTCTTTTCTTAATTATTTTAAATCTTATTTGTATAATGTACTTATCATAATAACTATATCTGTTAATATGTTACTGATATTTCGCAAGAATTTTTATAAATCTATTTTTCATAACTTATCAAATATAAGAAACATATTTTAAGAGATGTTATTGTAATTATAATTTTTTTTTAATTAAATGTCGGCAAGCTTTTAAATCACATTCAGAAGCAACAAATTCGCAACATTTCTAATATTTTTAGATTATGGATTATTCTTTTAATTATATAAAATATGGCATAATATACGTATCATTTTTTTCGTAGACAGACCTGATAATCGTGAGGCAAATCATCAGCAGTGAGGTCGCAATCAAGACGTGCAGTTAGTACGGAGTCTATTTGTGTTAAAGAATGCTGAAGGGCAAGAATACGCCCTTCCGATTGTTGAGCTTGTTTCACTGATCCTTCCAACAGCTTGGCCCGTTGCCCTGCCTACTCAAAACATAATACTCTATCTTTCTAAACTAACTTTACGAAGCAAGTATTAGACTTGCAATGATTGATCATTACAGTTTTTTTCTCAGCCAAGCAAAAACATAATATACAATTGTATATATAATAACACAATATTTAAAAATTTTTTTTAATATTTTGTTGCATATCTATTTTATATATTATAGTTTTTATATATTATAATTTTCACACAAATAAATTTTCACACATAATTATTCTGAGCAATTCATATTAATGCCACATGCGGTTATAAGCTGTTAAAGTCTCAAATGTTCGTACCTATGCTTAACACATACATACAATTCTGTAACATGAGCTCCTTAGGATAGATCTTAGTATAAATTATACACTTTACATTAATGACAAACACGTAGGCTTGTAGCAAGTACATACCTGCTTGTTTAAGTTTTCCCATCGATTTGTTAATCCCTCTACGTCTGTTTCAATAGAATGAGTCATGATATTACTGTCAATAAGTTGTTTACCAATTTCTTGAATTTTCTCAAGTCTAGATTCCGGATGATTTCGTATGTAATTTTCTAAATCCTTAAACATAATATATATAACTTTTTAGTGTATGTTGTGTGTGCAAACTGTATGTACAAAAAATCAATTAAAATTACAAAACTTTACGAAGAAAAATAATTTAATATTTTCTATTAAAAAAAAAACATTTAAAAGATAAACAATAACTTATAATAACTTTTTAAATTTTATTTTTTCTAAGCTAATTATTTGATTTAAATGATAGGATAATTGTTGCTAAATATTTATACAAAATTGAATAATTCACTTACATCCAGTTCTTCTGAAATTTCTTCTGCATCTGCAGCAGCTTTAGGCGATTTTTTTAATCGCTTATCAAGCTTATCCAACCAATCACTTTCCTGTGCGACTAAAGCACGAAATTCTCCATACTCATGACTAGCATTTTGTAAATGTCTATAGCGTTCGTATATACGATCTGTAACATCCGTCCATCGCGCATTTAAAAAAGTGAAACGTCTACCAAGCTCTTGTACGGATGATCCTTCTGAACTTAGTAGTTTATCATTTCCCATTTCGTTCAAATTTCTAAATTCTTCCACTCGTTTATCAATGTTGTCTTTTAATGCTTGATACCGACCACGAACTTGAAAAAGTTCAACTGATGACGTTATTCTTGATTCTACTGGTATTTCTTTTTCTAAACTTGACAACCACTTTGTGAAATCTTCTATACCATTAATAATCTAACAAAAAACAGAAGAGTTACGGAAAAAAAACATTCATACTTTTATTTATAAAGATTGTATGTACTTACATTATCATTTTTCTTTAAAGCACTTTCATATTTGTCGTTTAAACTTTTAGTCTCATTAACAATTGTGTTCCACTTATATGTTACAGCTTCCAATTTGTTGTTTAACAAACTTGTAAAATTAGCTTCCGATTTCTCAAGTATATCATTTGCTGATAATCGAAGTGCTTCTATTTGCGGTTTTGTTTTATCTATTTCTTGAGAAAATGAGTGAATTTGTTGTAATTTATGTTCTGTTGTTTCAATATTATCCGTAATGTCATCTTTGGATAAATTTTCTAAATATAATGATGATTTTTCCAACCAAGATTCAAGGGTAAAAAGTTCGGTATTAAATGTTTGCAAAATTGTAATATCTAAAACATTGCATTAATAGATTTCCTATGTCATAACAATTAAAATAGAAATAAAAAACAAGCGCTTATTTTGCATATTATTTGTATTTATTTTCTACTTACCTTTGGTAAGAGTCTGTTGTTTCTCTTCCAAAATAATAGGAATATCACTCCATTTAGTATTTAAATCCTGTAATTCATCTTTAAGTCGCTGTACTAAAGAATCATCATTTATCTTTGCTATTAAATCTTGTCCAGTAGAGTTAACATATTTGAAAGTTTCTTCCTGTTCTCTCAACGAGTTTTGTATATTTTTAAATCTTTTTATTTGCTCTTCCATAATTTTCTCACCCGATATAATTATATGTTCTGACAATAGAAAACCTTCTACATTGTTGATAAATGACATTAGATTGGTGATTGCTTCAGTATATCTTTTAGGCGGTGTTCGATCAATAGCATTAGTTATTTCAGTCAATCGCTCGGATAACCTGTATATATTGTATTAAGTATTGTATAACACAAAAATTTATAATATATAAGTATATATCTATAATAATATCTATAATAATACTTACATTGTGTATAAATTCTCCCAGTTAATGAGAAACTAGTTTACCCTAAATGGTTCTATCTGATTATTTTCTTTATTTGCCTCGAACCACTTGGTATAACTTTCTAACATCAAATTTAGATTGGCTAATTCAGTCCGGAATTTTTTTATTTCTTCCAGATAATCTATACGTCTTTTTATCTCTTGAAGACGATTATTTGTCGCTACCCAACAATTTTGTATGTCCTTAATCTTGGATTCTTCTTCTTCGGTGGATTCGTTTGCATTTTTTAATTCATCTATTAATTGTTTACCAATTTCAAGAACTTTATCATATTCATTTTTATGCGAGTCCACGTCTACAAGAGTATCTTCATAAACAACTTTCTTCTCTTCCACGCTTAATTCATCAAATACTCCTTCCGATCGACCAATTTCTAAGTCGACATAATCTAACCATTTATATAGATGAAGTAATGCCGATTCAAACTCATGTTTAGTAGTATTATCAACACGCCGTTTCTTTGAATCACTATATGGCGTTGACTGAAAAGAAAAATATTATATAAGTCACAAAAGCGAAATACTGAAAAATATTGAGAAAAATAAGAAAAACGTACTGTTGCAGTAATTTCTTCTTTATATGCTATACTTGTTACTGTTTCAGACATCCATTCATTTCCTTTAATAGTTGTTACATTCTCTTCAGACATTAAGTCAAATTCAAATCCAGAATTTGTTATCTAATACGCAATATAATAAAGATTAGAATTAAGAAGCAAAATGTATTCTTTCTTAAAATGAATATTCTAAGATATTGAATTACCCTTTGGGATTGAACTTCCATGATTTGTCCAACAGCTTCCCATCTATCCTGCAGGTTTTCGATCTTTTCCAAAATATTCGCGTATTCTGAAGACGAACTGTTGCCATCTAAATCCTGAATTGATTCTTGTAGAGAAGTTAATTTTTTCTGATTGATATCCATTTCTGCCTTAAGGATTTGCAATTTCTTTATTCTATCTAATACTTCGCCAAATTCAGATGCTGGATTGGCTTCCATTTGCTTTAATGTAATTTCCGTTTCGTTCAACCATGCTACTAGTCTTTTATAATCATCAGTAATACTCTGCCAAAGTGCAGATAAAGATTCCAATCGCTGATGTCGTTCCTCTTTCCATTGACCGATATGACTCCAACGTTCACCGAGAGCAGACAACTGATCTTCCATTTGTGCATAAACCGCCTCGGAATTTTCTTCATCTACGACTACTACCATATTCCTCATACTGTCAACTACGTCTTGTTGCGCATGAATATCTTGTTCTAGTTCGTTGAGATGTTTCAATTGTTCCTCGAAAGTCGATGGATTTAATTCGGTTGCTGCCATCAACGAAATTCGATCTTCCGTTTTTGTTAGCCATTGTCGTAACGCATCTAGCTGAGCCTGTTGCATTTGCATCAGGACCTAGAAATAGTCATAGATTTTATTTGTAGATAAAATAACTAATGTATTAAAATTATCTCTGCATTATACTATTTCATCAACAAAATAGATACATACTTCATGAATTCTTGTTTGCCTTTCCATGGCGCGCATTCGAAGACCTTCCCAACGAGAATTTAATAAAGACATCTGCACACGAACCTCGTGCTCTTCATCTTTATGCAATCCGCCTTCAGCTAACAATCTTGCACCTTCCTCTAGAACAGTTCCTACTCCATCTTGATGACCGGATAGTTCCATCAAGAAGGTTTCATGCTCGTGGAATTGTTGTTTTAATATGTCTAGAGTCGAGCCCGGCTCGGGGGCATGATTCAATTTATCCTCTGCTTCCAAAAGCCACGTTAAAACATCCTCAAGTGCAACCTGATAGCCGCCAAGCTCGACGGAAACATTTGTAGCTAAACTCATTGGGCGAGATGCTGGCATTCCAAAATTTGCGAACGTTAAAGTACTCTGTAAATTAATTTTTTTTATATGTCATACATTAATATGATGTAATTCTCTCGTCTATTTGCTAAATCACGATTCACATACTTCTGTTCCTGGTGTTGTAACGGGACTAACTGGCGTACTGTCACTTGCGATTGAAAGATCTAGCTCACCTATGTCGTCTCCGGAATGTGGCAACGATTGAAAGAGACACATAACGTACATCATTATGGATTTTTTATCCGGTACTGAAGTATTGACATCTGAAATAAAATATAACATTGTAAAAATCAACGTTATGTTTTACGTGTCATTGCTTTATAATCCAATATATTTTGCAATTTTTTATGTAATTTTAAATTTTTATAAATTTTTAGGAACTGAACTGTGATAAATTTCATAAATTTTTATACCAAATATATAAAATACAAAAAAAAAATTAATATTGTTATATATAATATTTAGAATGTCTCAAATAAATTACCTTCAGGATCCAAAAGACGTTCGATACCAAGATGTTCTTGTGCGAGCCGAAAAGCATGATCCAATCTAGCATTTGGATGTTTACGCGCGATATTATTAAAATCAAACAAATGAGATTTCCATTTATGTAAAATTGCGTTAAATGCTAAACCGTCCGACCAAGATGTTGTAAAATTTTTAATATCAACACCAGGATAATTCTAAAAAAAGACGATAAATTATTGTTGCTTTATTTTAATGATATTCAGTAAATTTTATTAGGTACATAATTGTAAAATTTTTACGTATTACCTGTGAGTTTTGACGACACCAAGCAAGAAGTGTCTTTTCTAAATTGGTCTGTTGTAATTCTGTCATTAGATCTTTCAAGTGATAATGTACCTATTTATGTGTAACATAGAAAAATTGATTAATAGAAAATAGATGAGGTAGATCGAGACAATTAACGATAAACATAAATAATCGATATAAAAACCAGAAAACCAATAAAATAATTTTAGCTAAAACATTTCATTTTAGAGATATTTTCTGCTTGTATCATTTATAATATAAAAAAGAAATTATTTTATGAACAAATATTGCCGGCCTCACGTTCTCTCGATTATAACAAGTACGACAAAATCTAAATTAAGGAATTTAATTCTCGCTAAAAATAAATACTTTGTTAAAAAGAATGAAATTAAAAAATTAAGATTAAAATTATTTTTGCCACGCTAATATGACTTAAATTCATTTCGTTCAAAAAGTTTTCAATATCTTTCAAATTTAAAAAAAAATAAAAAATAATCTCGCATAAACTAGATCCCATTCCATATAATGAATTAAAACTTTGTGGCATAAATGATTAATTACTTAATACATTAAAAGCATGTTGCAATCAGATTTTAATTTACATAAGAGGTTTTCTTGCTAATAATGCCTTGCAGCACAAAATTAGAAAGATATTATCTTCAAAATTATAAATGACATGAATCGAATTATTACAAATTGAAATAAAAAAAAACTCTGTCGTAATTTGTATAGTTTAATATTTATATAAAAAATATCATCGAAAACTTACTTGCCAATGAAGAATAATACTCCATACCAAACCAAGTGTCAATTTAGGATTACCATCAACAATATCATTACTACTAATATTAACAAGTTTCACCTGAAATATCATATATTATATACAGCTTTGATAAAAATTTATATAATTATATTAAATTTATATTTTTATTTAAATTAAAAATCTACTAATTTACCTCTGTAAATAATATCTTATAATCAACATAAAATAAAATAAAGATTCGTTTTACCAATCTGTTTTCGTAATTTTATTACGTAATAATTCCGCTTAGCACAAATATTCCTAGAATATAACACAGTATAAACGCTGCAGTTATATACTTACGTTATTCTGTTCAAGAATTTGTAATGCTTTATTAACATTATTGAGATGATGCACTCGCATCCGGCCGCGTTCTCTTTTCTGTAAAATAAATATCTTACTATGTTAATCTCGCTTTTTTAAAAAAACATGCAATTACTGGAGCTCGCGCGTTTTATCTTAACATAAAGCGTCCTAATTCTATATGGACCATTGTGCAAAATAAATGTCAACGATGAAAGTAAATACTTGCGTGGGGCATTGCAAATGCCGCGACGCGGTATTATATCTCGGGAATAGAACATTCTTACGCCTACCGCGCATTCGTAATCGTGTACTCTTATGCTAATATACCTCGATGCACGCGCACCTGCTCGCAATTCACCACGGCGAACGCGAGCTGTACTAACGCGGAATACACAAGGAATAATTTTATTAGGAAGCGCCGTCGGCCAAGAGATGCTCTAACGATCACCTTTGCGATCTAACAGCGTTTTCGACAATCCATCATCGATGCGGAAAAACTTGCGCAAAATTACGGATCAGCGCTAAGCCACGCTAAGCGATTATCGCGGATTATGTTCAGATAGGCGCGCGGCATACTTACATAAGTCTTGGAAGTGAGCACTTCCAGAAGTGACAGCAAGCGATTTCCATCTCGTAAATCGATGAACAGATCATTGATCGGCTCGTGATGATTCTACGGAAAGTATGATGGATTAAACATCCGTTTTATGCTTTTTCCTCGCTGGAAGCATCCCTCAACGTACTATTATATCGCGTTAGAAGTACAACATAACGCACAAGTACGAGCATGTGTGTAACAAGTAGATACTTATTACATTCCATGCATGAAGAGATTTAAGAGCGAAACTCCTTGCATACCGTGCATGAGATACAGTCCCGCGAATAAATGGAGTGTGTATAATAATAACAGGCGAATGGTAATTGGACTGAATAAGATCCCTTACCTTGAGAAGCTGCGAATTTATCCATTTGGCGAACGTCTTTTTCTGCACGTCTTCTCGCTCATCTGTAACATTATTATAAATTATTAATTATTGAAATTTTCGGAGGAAATTTAGCAAATTCTTAAAATATTCTAAGAGAAATAGACTTCATTACGTAATCCATTATTTATATAAAACTATAGAAGTCAAATGGTATTCCATGTTAATTAACTAGCGTAATATCACAATTCGATAAATTGACATACGAATATTCAAATATATTATTAATTATCGTATTTAATTAAAATTCTCCGGAAATTCATCTTTCAATAAACCGATAATTATTTAACACGTCATAATCAATGGAAATCGAAGAATATTTCTCAGATTTCCACTATCTTTATATGTAAACGTGAATTTAATATGTTTTTTTAGACAAACCAATCGTGACAATCGAGTTAAATTAACAATTGAAAAATTATACAAATAACATGTGCATGCTTTATATTAATATGTATGTATTATATTATTATACATATATGTAATTAATGTATCTTAAAATGCAGGAAATGCATCGCGTATCAATGTATAAATATAATTTATTTTTTTTTTATTTATAATTTAATCAGAGAGGTTTGCATTAGAATCATTGAAATTACTAAAATTTTCGATTATAAAATTTCGATTGTAAAATATTTCTTATTCTACTAATACCCTAAATATTGTTTCTAAAACAACGTTTTTTAATTTTAATTTAATTTTAATCTCGTGAACTTACTCTTCATTTTTCTAATTTTTAAAACTGAAAGAAAATGAAGAGTTAGATTAAAATTAAAGTATTAAGTATACATTAGTAGAAACAAACATAAAGTCCACTTCTACCATGATTAACTTTAATCTATAGTTTAATTTACTCTTTACCTTTTTCTAATTCTTAGAGAAGATATAAAAAGTGAATTAAATCAAGATTAAGTTAATTTTTATTGTTAAAAAAAGCACAAAAAATTATGATTGATAATCATAATTTAGAAGCAAACTGAGATATTTTTTGATAATTGAAATAAATATATTTATTCTATGATATGATTTATGTATTCCCCGGGCAAAATTTATCGCAGCAAAGGATAGACTTCGCGCGAATATCACTTTGTCTCGGAGACTCTCAATTATTCGTTGCGCGTCTATGAATACTTAGAATACTTTTGCAATTTATAATACATTAAGCAACAATTGATCCACTGACAGTTTTACTCGCTCGTAAAATTATTGTCGACGTAACAACGGCGGCTCATCGTCATCTATCGCGTTGACACTAGTTGACCTCGGCGACTGAAGCAGTAAACTCGAAATTTAGGTCGACTGACAGCAAGTCGAGATAACTATAAGTAAGTACCTGTTCACTTTATCGGATTGTTAAGTACATGAGATGGTATGCTGTCGATCAACTCGTCATCATCCGCACGGTAGTGAATTGATCGCATGCTGATTTCATGCGTCGTGATGCAACCAGCTTATAAGAAAACCACGAACATCGGCATGCCGATAAAAATAGAAAGATAGATGATGTCAGCTTTCATGCATTTTAGCGTTTTGTATGTTTACTGATGTAGAATCGTTACTCCTGCATGTTTCGCAAAAATATGTATATCTCTCCAGTATACTTCTAACACGAGAATTATATTCTGGAGAATTATATTTAGACGAGCGACACTGCATATTAAATTAGCGCCACGCAAAAAAAAATTCGCAATTACCGTCTCGCACGCAAAAAAGGAACTTGTAAGCAATAATTTTTAAACTATAATTTTGACTGTAATTTTGTCCGTTTAGAATACTCACGTTTCGTGAATATTCTATGTATACATTCTGATATATTAGGTGTTGGAATTAATTCGTAGCGTTTTACAATATTCTGTCGTCTTTCCTGAGCGATAGATAATGAAAAAAATTTTTTGTCAAGAAAATTTTTCCCCAATTCCCAAACGCGGAAACAGCTTTCTTTCCGCAAAAAAACGTAACGCACCATTCAGTATGCTTGACGGTTCAGAAGATCGACTTCTCATTTGGAATCTGAAAGTCATCCACAGTCGATGGCGCATTTTAACGAGCCTCAAGGAAAACATACTAACCGATAGACGTTACTGATGAATGAACGAATGAATGAACGTACTTATCTTGTAGGAAACGCAGGTTACGTGAGTAACATGCAGACGGAAAGAAATTGCAAATGGTGATCATGTACTTAAAGTAAAGTAAGCCGTGAGATCAACGCACGCAAGACAGTCTGTCTCGTGAGGAAGTCGGTCGCCCTGAAGCTTATCATGAAAGCTCGGAGATATTAAGGAAAGATTAACGGGATTGTCGATTTTCCAGAAAAGAAATAACGTATCATTTGCAATAATTTATCATTGCATTGTACGTACAGCATATAACCGATATTATATTTTTATTACTGTTCTAATAAATTACTATTATAAATCAGTCAGAGACCAAAAAAATTAGTTAATGTTGTAATTAATTATATAATAATAATAATTAATCACAAAACATTAGCAACAATTTTTATCCTAATTTATAATGCTCTACATATAAATTAGAATAGAATATTATACAAATTACTAATGTGTAGAAATTAATGACAACGAGTGTAATATCAATCATTCATTTAAAGCCTAAGTAATAATATTATAAACTTCGTTAAAAAGTATACTGCAATTATATAATAACCCGAAAATTTACGATCCTGTTCGGGACGGTAAGATATCTTCGTCCAGTCCTGCAAAAATACGATGCTTCCGAATATGGTGCAACGAGTTCTTGTGTACAATCCGGCGATTTCTTTTTCCGAACGCCGTATATCTTCCGTCAAAGAATCTTATCGCATCGTACCGAGGTCTGAATCGTACACATATAACGATTTCTCAATATATTAGGAATACGAAAAAACGGTGCTGAAGCGTGTATCAACATTTAATACGGATAATTATCCCGACAAGGATCTTAAATGATTAACGGAGATTGAAATGTAACTAATTTTTTAGAAAATATACGCTTTTTACAATAAACTGTAAATATTGTATTGGTCTCATTTCATGTTTAGATTAATTATTAATTGGGAACAATATACACAGTTAGAAAATTTGTGTTAAATTTGACATACTTCACATGTCCTAAACGATACACTCAAATTTTTGTGTTACTTTGACATAAGATGAATATATTAGAAAGGAATACAAACATTATGTAAAAGAACAACATAAAAAACGTAATATTGACATAATTTGTAAACAATCATATTTCTTTATTAAAATTAATATTTATAATATTTTAAATTAATGAATTTTATATTTATAAAATTAAATTTGTTAAATTAACAAATTTTATTTATTTATCTTAGAATTTACGTTTAAAAAAAACAGTTTTATGTTATTTGTTCATTTATTTAAAAATTATGTTTTAATACTAAAAATATTGAATATCAATTAAACACAAAATATTCAAATCACATAATTATATTGTATTAAATTAACATTCAGGTATATTAAAAATTCATTTAGTTTAACAACTGACAGTTACACTCTTGAAATATAGTAATTAAAGAGACTTTCTGCCGCATTCTGGGCCTGAATATGGTACTCTGTACTAATTAATGGAATTCATTTTTTGGAGCTCGCTGATGACGACTCGAATGGAGCCGAAACATTCCATCTTTTTGTAAAGCAATGTAAGGAACTTTAAAATATAATTTGTAAACTGTGTGTAACGCACAAATTATTAATGTTATTGTTCTCAATTCTCCGTTACTTGAATGTTATTGTTTTATCTCAAGAATCAAATTTCTAATCTTTTTAGGAATTCAATACAAAATTTTAAAAGGACTTGAGTGGACCACTTTTAACACAAATACAATATTTTTTATTGTGTACGTAAAAAAAATAATATAATATACAAACGTTAAAAATTTAAATCTTTTATGGTATAAAATTGAAACATATACCAAACATCACAAATTAAAGATCTTTTTCTCTTAAATATAATAGTCAGAGAAAAAAATATCACCAGTTATTTATTCATAAACGTAAAATTGAAATATGCACTTTTCTTTATTTATAGGATCATGCGCACATATACAAACTATATTGTGATTATAATTTTATAACAGAATATATTTTGTGCTAGTCAAGAGAGAAGGGCAGAAAAGAACTTATTTATTGAAGAAGCTCTCTGATTTGATCTAAGAACAACTCTGTTTAGGTATACGCATCCGTTCGTTTTCTTTCAAAGCATAGTATAAACAGTAACATACTGCCATTAAGCAAACAGAGGACTTGTGTGTCTGTAAATACTTCGTCTTACTATAAATTAGCATATGCAGCTCGAAGTCTACATCATTCTCAGAAAATTAAATTTTAACGCTATAGTTAATAGTTTGCTTCGTAACTCCGACTTTATATCAATATTTTTTAAATTTTACATTTTAATGTTGTAATAATTTCTAGAACAAATTTCGGAAATGTTAGTCTCTATATTATTTTCTTATATTTTGTATACTATTAATATTAATTAATACCTATTGAAAAATGTAGCAACTTTTCAATTTCTTATTATTTGAAAATTTAAATTAAAAAAAAATTCTGTTAAAAAAAATTCAATAAAGAACGTTTAATAACGTTGATTAACATCGATACATAATCCAGAAGTCTATATATCTGAAGTCTATTGATTAAATATATTTAATCTTCAAATTATTTATTTAATAAACATACATACAGTATATTACAGTTTATTACTACTTTTTCATAATTTATTTTTCTTTCGATTTTTTTTTCGAAAATAAATGTTCAACATTTTATATTTTTATAAGATGATATTAAATTTATATATTAATAAATTTTGTATAAGTAGTTAAATTAAGACAATTGTAACATTTTAAAAGCATCATAGAATCTTAAATTTATTTTTTTCGTACGAAAAATTACACTGTCTTGTTCAGTTTACAAAACAAAAAGTAAATCTCCAAAAACTGTTATCAAAGTGTAAATAAATACAGGATAAGTGCAACTGCATTGAAAATTTGACAATT